GCTGAAGCTCTTGCAGGTTCTCCTGATGTGTCCTCAGTGCCTGTCTGTTCATACCATGTGGCCCTGCATTTAGTTCATGCTACCTTGGTTAAATGAACCACTGGGATTGATTTACAGAGTGGCTTTGGGAAACAGGAATCATATGTTTGCTTTAAATAGGTTTTCTTTAAAGGTTAGTACATTTTGATTTTTAAAATACTATGCTTGGGGGTGTATTTACAGGCAAGTCCATATTTTGTTTCTTCTTCTGGGGCAGGGGCTTTGTGTTAGTGCATGCACAAAACCCACAGGACTCATTCTTTAAAAGGTGTTCAGTTCCCTCTTGCTGATAGTATAGATCATAGCAGGTGTTAAAATGGTTGTTACCAGCTGCAGAGTAATGAGAATCTGAGTTCCTTGTGATGTGGAATAATTTATATTCACCACCACTGTGAATGTGCCCTCAAGGTGACAGATTCATGACTTCATGCATTAGAAACCTGCATAGTGCCAAAACAGGGATATGTTTAAGAGAATAGCTATTCTTATGAGAAATGCATTTTTATGCCTTTTATCTTGCTGCAAACCCTTAAGCTGGAAAAGGATGTGAAGCTTGACTGTTACTGTTTCTGAGAGTAATTTGGTTTTGTGTGTAGAATTAGGCCCTAATATATTGTTCAGTTTTGAGTCCTAAGCAAAGGACTAGGATAGATATGCAATCAAGTACATGGGCTGAATTTCCTGCCATTTTGTCATCAGAAACAGGCAGCAACTGTTTTAAAGAGTACCTGGTTTCCAGTGTTGGAGGGCTTTATCTGAAATGGGAGCCTAACAGTCATATTGGTTTCCTTCATCCACAAGCGTGAAACTACTAACTGAGGATGTGAAAAATGAGGGAAATTACCTTATTGTCCCCATCTCTGGAGGAGTGATTTGTGCTTTGTCTCATCAATAACCATGTCTACAAGACAGGGATGGCAGTCACCTGAGGTCATACCTCTGTCAAAGAGTGTGGGTGAGCAAAGGGCACTGGGCTTTTGTTGTTTCTTTGTTTACATTCAAAATCTAGGGGCTGCCTTGATGTGGGGCAGACTGGGGTACCTTGCTTGTTCAATCTGAATAAAATAAGGAAAGATGAAAGATGGAGGATTGAAAGAGGAGGAACAGAGTAGAGGGAGGAGAAGCTAGAACAGAGGATGGAAGTCTGTTTTCAAGTGATACAGGAGTAATGTTCCTAGGAATAAATACCAGATCTTTATATTAATGCAAAGAGTATTTAGAAAGACCAGAATTTATGGCCTATTTGGAGTTTTTGTTTTGGCTTTGTTTGTTTTTGATAAAGCATTTCACTTGCAGTAGCAAATCAAATTCTCCAAGGAGAACTGTACGAGGAATAGAACAAGCAGAGAATTAAAACCTGGTCCCAGAGGTATAAAACCTCGATTTCACTCATCACAGAAGAGCAAGGGGGAATACGCTATGCCTGGGGAAGGGTAAGCTGTTTTCTGTGTTTGCCATGATATACAACAACTGAAAGAAGGAGCCTTTTTGACTTTTGAAGCAAGGCAAGAGGTTTACCAATACCAGCCAGAAGAACTTCTCAATTGGTAAAAACTACCCTTGCAAAACAACTTATCCTTTTAGAAAATGATTCTGGGGTGTATTTATTTGAGGGTTTTTTTTGCAGTCCTCCCTCTGCTTCCTAGAATGGAACTCTTAAGGGGTCATAAAATATTGTCTTGGTCTGAAAAGACAGGTACCTGCTGAGGAAGGCAGGAGCCTCTCATGAAATGGAAAATGTAAACCCCCCTCCCTCTGAATTACTATAATTTTGAAGTTAAGGGGCTCTTAGGCAAAGATATGGGAATATGAATAAGAGTTCATTAATGAAAATTAAAATAAAAATACAGTAATACAACAAAACACTGGCAGAGTCAGAAATACAACCTGACACCCTATCAGTCAGGGTGTTGGTAGCAGTCCCATTAAGTGGTGGCTGCAGTCCTCCTGGAGTGACAGATGTGGTTCAGGTGAAGCAGTGATCCTGTAGAAGGGTGCAGTTTTCCTCCAAAGGTCCAGTGATGATGTAGAAGGGTCTGGTTTTCCTCTGGAATCCAGTGAAAAAAGGCTGCTCTGATGTTCCAAATCTCAGATTTTATTTAGGTGGGAAATGCTTGGCTCCTCTCCCTGGGTGGAGCTTCTCCCAAGGGGATGATGTGATTTTATCAGTGAGACTCAATGGCCCATTAACAGCCAATGTCTCCCTGGAGGAAGGATGGGGTGTGGAAAAGATAATGAACACTGCCCCAGCTGGTTTTTAACAGATGGTGATAGAATACATACTCTTGGTTACATCCTGTATTGGAACCTAAGACAAATACTAATGCTAAATATAGACAGGGCGGACATTCACCAACCCATATAAAGGTTTACTGAGCTTGTGCTTGGTTTTGAGAACCTGTGAAGTCCTGAATATTTAAACTGAAAGAGATAAGGAGAAATTTGGAAAAATTGCTGTTTTACATCATCAGAATCTGCTGATATCCACAGGCAAGAACATTAAACTCTCAAAAGGAAAGTGTGAGAAAAAGGAGAAGATAAAAAACTGTGCTTATATGTTTAATTTTGTATTTTGAAATGGTTAGTCTTTCAAGGTTTTTTGTTGTGTTGTTTAAGGGATTTCTAGCTTATTAAGAAGGGTTTTACCCATTGCTAATTTAAAAGTGTTCATACTGAAAATCAAATTAACTCTTTCAAAAACAACAGCTTCCAGAAGTTTGAGTTCTTTTTACTTCTGACTTCTTTCTTCTCTTTCTTTCTCTGTAGAAACAAAACATGCACTCCGTCACCTCAGGATAGTGAAAAAGGTTTTGAAATTCCAAACAGCTTTTTCTTAGAAAGTTCTGGTTTTGAAAAGAATGCCTTTGCAAAGTTAAATTCTTCTGAGCTTTAATGGCTCTATGTAATTGCAGCATGTTCTCTGCTATTTTATATTATCTAATTTTAGGTGAAGTGTCTTCATGGCCCTTGGGAGGACATTTCACAGTCTCAGTGCAAGCCTACACTTACACATACTCTGTACTTGCACCTAAAAAGACAAAAAAAAATAAAGTGAGCAAAGAAAAAGTAGCTGCTGCAATTTTAAGATTGACAGCTAGTTGGTTGCTGTCACCTTTTTTTTTTTCACTGCCAGTGTAGGTGGCACCTAGCTGAACAGCAGCATTTAGCACGTTGCCTCAAAGATCAGAGATCAGGGTCTTCAGCCTGAGAAGTCTCTGTGGCATAGGCCAGTGAAGGCTGTGATAGTGACACAGTCATTTATTTCTGTGTGCTTTTTTGCTTTTTCTTTCTTTCAATTTATAGCATAGCCCTTTATAAATTATATTAAGCTTATCCAAACTGAAGGTGAAACAAAGGCGTCTGTTCCCTGAAATTTGTACTGATTTGAAGTAATTTTCTCTTCATACCATGGATTTGTTGGTCTATGTATGAATAAAGGCTACTTTTATAAGATTGTCTGGGTAAGGGACTTACTTTCCACCTGTTGTTCTACTGCAGGATCATAATAGCAAGTGGACTGACATTCCCACCTCTTCCCAAATAAGCTTCTCCTTCCCCTTCACCTTTGTGAGCATCATCCTGGAGGACAGCAGGTTTTGTTAGTCAGACTGTCTTGATAGATGTGAATGAGAGAGTGAAGGCATTTGGTGTTTGTACATGGATAAACAGTAACAATCATGTTTCACTCTAGCGGTTTTAAATCAGGCAGCCTCTTCTCGTCAGCCCGTATCTTGCCGTGTCTCAAAAGAAAATGTCATTTTTGAAATTGAAGTGAAAGTGGTGTTTAACATATATTCTTCTGTGCATGCACCATTTTTCTTTGAGTGTCAGGCTGGTAAAAAAAACCTGCTCACACAAAAGCATTTCTGTTGGCACTATTATGCCTTCAAAAACAGAAGAAAAAAGCCTTCCTGCATTGCATCCACTGAAGGATGGGCAGAGATCTGCTACCACCCAGAAGGAAATGTAAGCATTTCCATTCTTCTGGTCTCAAAGGACCATGTGTATAGCATCTTGTGTTGATGATAAGGTTGTACAAAATGGGTTTGTAGAGTTATATTTCATTATTATCTTAAAGCCTTTGTTCCCAGTGTCCGGTGGCCACATTATCTCTGTCTCATACAGACATTTTTGTTCAATTCATTTTGTTGAAGTTCCACTCACAGTGCTTTCATTGAAAAGCTTTGTGATAGGAAGGATATGCCTTCCAAAACCTAGAAAAACCCAGGAAGTTATCAATCGAGGAGTATTATCCTAAAAAGAATAGTTTTCAAGTAAATTTTGTAAACTGTTATTATCTCTGTCATGATTTTAGATCTGCATATAAATAGTTTGTAATTTCTTACTTAAGGATCCTTCAAAGTCCCATTTTAAAGTTGTTCTAATCCGTTTTCATGACTTAGGAGCAAAATCAGTAACAACATCAACCAAAGCAAAAGTTGGTGTGGAAAACGAAGTGGAAAGCAGAACACATTCAAATTGAAGACAAAATTAGTGAGGTGAAATCAAGTTAAAATATGATTGGAAACAATATAAGGTGCAAACTCTGTCACCCCAATTAGTGAAATATTCTATGACTAGTAACTCTGGAAGTTCTAACTTCAGAGAAGCTGGAAAGGAATAACCATTTCAGACTGATTATTTTTTTTATTATTATTAATCAGATAATGGTTGTTTCCTCTTGTCCTTCTGCAGCCTGTAGAGGATACAGGAAATATACCTTTGTTGAGGGTTTTGTTTTTTTTAAATAGAATTTTTTCCCGTAAGTTGCTAGGAAACTAGCTATTGGGTACTTACGGGTACTGAAGAAAAAATAGAAGTGGCTAAGGTTGAGAGAGGAGTGTAGCATCTGGCTGCGCCTCTTTCTCTGGGAGTTTCTCTCTGAGGGACGAGGGATGGAGATACCACAGGAATTGGGCAGGTAAAGGACGGGGCTGGGGGCACCTGCTCTCCCACTCTCTCTCTCTGGGCTTCGGAGGAGGACGGTCAAGCTGCTGCTTGGGGAAAGGAATTCGCTTCCACTGCAGGAACCCAGGCAGGAGCTGCCTTTGTTCTGCTGCTGGGCCCCGCACCCCCTGCCCTGCAGGGATGTCCCGCAGCTCCAGATACTGCCACGCAGATTCTGACACATCTCGTCCACCACCCCGGGATCTCTGCTCATTCCCGCCAGCCCAGCTCGCTGTTTCTGTGAGTCCTGCTGGAGCAGCGGGGCCGGCCCCGCCGCAGGGCTGCTGAAGCAAAGCCTCTCTTTTCCATCCCTTCCCGTCTGGGCCCAGCCGCCATTACCGCCTGCTCCCCGAGCCCGCGCCACAGCGCCCCCTGCCGGCGCGCGGGGATCAGCGCACCTGCCCCGCCCACCGGGAGCCAGCGGCGCCCCCTGCCGGCGGTGACGGGAACTGCAGCAAGGGGAAAGTGCCCGCGGCCGAGAGGGCTGAGCTGGGCTCCTGTTCTGGTTGGTGTCAGTGACACCGCTGGTGCTGTCTGGGTGCCTTGCTGTACCCACCAGCAAAGAGCTGCTATTCCTAGCCCCGTGTCTCTGCCTGACAGCCCCTGAATTTCAAATTATAATAATTCAGAGGGACGGGGTTTACATTTTCCAGTCCAAGGGAGGCTCCTGCCTTCCCGAGCAGGCACCTATCTTTCAAACCAAGACAACCTTCTATGCAGAGCCAAGAGGTTATTTTCTAACCTGTGTCTTAAAATTTTAGTCAACACGCAGCAGCTGCCATTCTGGTAGAAATTTTGTGAGCAGTGCTAGTTACCTGCTTTTTTTCAAGTAATTTCCTTTCATTAATCAAGTAAAACTGTTACATACACTTGCCAATACCTGCCCCTTTCTCCTACATATTGGCCCTTCTGATGACCCTCTGAATCCTTTGGGTAGTGGCCTCAGTCTATCAAAAAGAAGAGATTGTGGTTAGCCATCAGCACCTCAGTTCTGTAATTCTACTTCTTTGAATTTATTTTTCAAGCTGCTTGTTATCTTTGTAGAATCATGAGATGGCTTGAGTTGGAAGCGACCTTCCAAAGGCCCTCTAGTTCAACTTGCCTGCCATGGGCACAGATATCTTAGAATAGATCAAGATGCTCAGAGCCCTATCCAGCCTTACCTTGAATCTAAGGGTCATCCACCACCTCTCTGAGCAATCTGTGCCAATGTTTCACCACCCTCATTGTAAAAGAACTTCTTTCTAATATCTGATGTAAATCCTTAATTTTAAAACCACTATCCCTTTACTTATGTCAACAGCATTACTAAAATGTTTGTATCCATCTTCCTTGTAGAAAGTCACAATCAGGTCTCCCTGGAGGCTACTCTTCTTCAGGCTGAACAATCCCAACTCTCTCAGCCTGTCTCCATAGGAGAGGTGCTCCAACCCTCTGAGCATCTTCATGGGCTCCTCTGGACTCACTGGGGCAGGTTCATGTCCTTGCTGTGCCAGGAGCCCAGGCTGGAGGCAGCTCTGCAGGTGAGCTCTCACCAGAGTGGGGCAGAGGAGCAGAATCCCCTCCCTGCCCACAGGGCTCTGGATGCAGCCCAGCACACAACTGAGCTGCCAGCACACGTGTCTATGTCATGTCCAGCCTCCTGTCCACCAACACCCCCAAGTCTTTTCTCCTCTGGGCTGCTCTCAGTCCATTCCATGGGACTGATCTGACCAAGGAGCAGCACTCTGTACTTGGCTTGTAGAACTTGATGAGATTCCCAAGGACCCATTTCCTGATCTTATCCAGGTCCCTCTGGATGGCATTCTGCCCTTCAGGCCTGTCAACCTCATCACTGATCTTGCTGTTACCTGCATTCATTGAATTACATTCAAGCTTGTGGATTTACTAAAAATTTGCCAAGATGACTTTAGATTTTGTTTTTGTTGTGCGTGATTTCACTCAGTTTAGTAGCAGAGCCCTTTCTCTGCAGTGGGTCAGTGACTAAGGCATGTTTGTACCTTGTTGTTAATGAGTGTATTAAAATAGCATGGCTTAGGTGTGAATTGGTGCCCTATTTCCGAGGTGGAGCCCTGGAGCATCTCTGGGACTCTGGCTGGCAGTTGTGAATGGGGTTTAGACCCATGTTTCCTTTGTAGTCTTGTAAGTCAGTGGGTGCTAGCATGGATCTTGCACTTCATTATATTTCATTTCACCTTTTCTACATTATTTTAAGTCTTATGCAAAGTTACTGAATTTTCAAAGTTATTGAATGTTTTCCTTATGGTGATATCTTGTGTTTTCAGATGTGTTCTTCACTGTATTGGCATCTTATCTTTTCTGTTTTAGTGGAACTTTATTTGCAGTGCTCTGGTGATTGTCATGCCTTTCTTTTAAACCCTTTGTCTTCTGTTCCTTGTGGCACTTTCCCTGTCTGCTTCCCTCCACTCACTTAGATTCACGTTTTCCTCATGCAAATCCTAATAGTTTCGTTGCAACACTCCTCCTGAAAATGTTTTCTTCTGATAGGCCTCTGTTTACTTTTGATCCATGCAGAGACTGTGTCCACGTCAGAAGAATCAGACTGATCCAAGCATTCAGATGAACTTTGTTAGATCCATTATTAGTCTGTGTGTTAACATAGAGCTCACTAAGGGTTTAGCTGCAAGACTTGGCTTCTGTCCCCAGTAAATGTGTGCAGCTGGTTCCTGCAGTGCCCTGAGTGCCCTTAATATGATTTGAGTTAGTGATATGGAAGAGGGCTGACTGACTGTTAGCAGTCACATGAATTTTTGAAAACAGCTTCTCGAACTTAATTTGTCTTCAGATTATTTTGGGTTACCTGGACTGGCAGCAATCTGCTAGATTATTCCAGGGAAAACAACATTAGTCAGAGAAATGCAAACTTATTTTGATTAATTTATTCCAGTCATACTTACCCTCAACAAGCAAACACATCAGTGGGGATTTAGAGGCCTTTATTTTAAAGCCTGTCTGACTTTTGTGGCACCTTCCTGTCAGTCATTGCTGTGACCTTAGGGAAGGTACAAGAGAAGGTAATGCCAAAGACAGAAGTTGGGCACACCTTTGGTATCTGACTGGTTCAGACTGCACAAACTTCAGAAGCTGAAGTTTTGTTCAAAGGAATGCATCCTGCAGGTACCACTTGTGTTGATTTTTAGAGAAGTTTTCACATAAGAATGCTGAGCTGAAATTGTCTAAGGTCTTTGAGTAGCCCTTCTAAAAAGGTTTTGTGTATTGAAAATGTTTTATTTTTGTCTCTTGCTTTCTAGATAGTACAGATTAGGACTTCCTGTGAGAAGAATTCTGGACAGAGAGATACATAAATCAAATGGTCTTTTCCTGCCTGTTATAAAACCTTGCCTGATGATAAGGAACATGCTAGTTTAACAGTGGAGTGAATTTTATTCCTCTGGCAGCAATGTCTTGATAAAAAGAAAATGGGAAATCTCACCCAAGTGAAGTCACTGGCAGACATTGGCAGCATCCAGACTGTTCAGCCATTGGTGCAAAAATCATGGAACTGCTTCTGACTGTGTCTATAAGTTTTCTGATTTTCTGTGAGTCCTGTTATGTCCACAAATCATCGGTGAGAGAAACTCAAAGATAACTTGAAAAAGCAGTGTCAGGTATTAGCTTGGGAGAGTGTATTTGCTGATGTCTTAAAATGGCTGTGGGGATGTTTGGTATGCTTAACTAGATCATACAATTGCTAAGGCTGGAAAACGTATCACGATTCCAAGTGTGCTGAAATATTTCCAAAATTTTCCATGCTAGGAATGTGTGATATATTGAATCTGATGCTTGTTACAACTTCTCTTTCTTAGATTTCATCCAGCTACGTGTTATCACCAGCACCCTAAATACTTCCATTTCTTTTTTAGAAGCTGAATGTGTTGTTCAGTGTTTTGGCGCTCAAATATCTCTTTGCCAACAGCCCTGAAATGAAAAGATCCTTTTGGAAGTAACTCTCATCAGGACAAAGCTGCAAAGAAATTTATGCTTTCCAAATACTTGGAAAGCACAATCATATGTTCCTCATCATCTGGGGAAGCTGACTGTGTTTAGCTGTCACGGTCATTTTTTTATGAGCAAGTGCCCCCCGTTGTGATAACTGCTGTATTGCTTATCAGGGGCCTCTTTAGTGCCAATCATTGTTAGTGTGCTTTACTCCAGGGGACCCAACTCGATACAGTGGATCTTCTCCTCCCCACTGTCATCCATCTCCCTGTCAGTTTCCTGCTGGCTTTTTTCATTTGTGCCAGGATGTGCAAGGAGGTGGGATTTGGAGACCCTCCAGTTTTGTAAGTAGGAACAGGTAAAAATGTTCAGTTACTGCGTAGAGGGAGGGTGCTCTTTGTCCAATTCCTATTCATCAATACTGAGAGAGTGGTTGCACGCTCATTAATACCAGATCAGTGCACTGTGGATTGCCAAGCAGTGGGAAATTTGTCTGGGTAAGGTGGTGGGTCTGTAATTGCTGAACACATTGAATGCACAGTCTGGCTTTTCTGTGGCTTTTTAGCAGCTGTAAGAGGATAGGCAGCACGTGGTTCAGAATGTAGCCTGCAAATGTAGTTAACCAGTGATCTTCCTTTTAACAGGTCTTAATTGAAGCCATTTTTAGTGCGTGAACAATGTATGGAGACACAGCTCTGGAACTTTTGGTCCAGAGACTGGGAGGCTCAGAGCTGAATTTTTCGTAAAACTGAGACATAGTCTCAGCTGTTGCTGAACTTGTTATTTATGGAAATGTTATCCCTGCCTTTGGTAACTGTACAGTTAGATCACTGATGCTTTGAAAAATCCAGGTTTGACGATTCTCATGGCAGCTGTGCTGTCTGCAGGGATCATTAATGCAGGAGGAGCAGAAGCATCTCCCAGTGGATGGACTTGTAGTGACAAGTGGAGGGCAACAATCAGGTCTGTGCTTGGACACTTCCAAATGATGAACAGCTGAGACCAGCTGGGGATTAACATTTCTCATGGGCCCCTCAGGTACCTGGTCTGCAGAGTTTGGGTCTTTTGTGGTGTTTCCTGTGGAGAAGTGGACACAGGCTAAAGCACTTTTTTGGTTTGGAGGAGTCAGGGTCAGTCTCTGCTCTGTTGGCCAAGATGCCAGCTGTCACACACGTGTTGGTTGTTCCTTCTTCACTTAAAATGGGAAGCAGATGCATAATAATGGCTTTTAAGCTGAGCTGTGTTATAGGACTGTTGCCTGGCTTTATAGATGGGATGATACAACACCTCATGATTCCACTGGAAGCTCTGAGAAGAAATGTGCAGTTCTTAACAATTCCATCATCTCAATCTCTCAGTATAGTTGGGTCCGAAATTTTATTTTAATTTTTACTTTGAGCAGACAGTTCTGCAAAGTTGGATAAAGAAGAGAAAAGCCAGGAACATCTATAAGAGAGAGGTCAGAAAATAAGTATACATCCTCTTAGTGTTACGACAGTACCAGAGTGGAAGTTGAAGCTTGTTCATGCAGCTCCCTAAATAGTCACTTCCTTGGTTTTCATTGGTAAAGAAAGGCCACCTAGGGATGTGGGTTATACAGTGGTACCAACTCATAGAATATTGAATCTTGCAGGACTGTCCAGGATATTGCCCAAGAATTTGCAAACCTGGGCAGAAAAAACACAGCTACTGTCCTGTGAAGAAACCAGATGTGCTGGGGAATAGTGGTAAAGAGGATAAGAGACTTGCAAGCTGAAGGATAGAAAACAAGAGAGGGAAGATGAGATGGAGCATGCGAATTGGGAGAGAGTAAAATTTAAAAATGTATTTTGCAGCAAAATAATAAGTTTAATCAAAAAACCTGTAAGCAACTCCACTATGAGATTGTGGAGCTGAGGTGGTCTCCAAAGCAGGGTGCATTCACATCAAGGTGTGCCTGAAACAGTCCACTGGGGTGTGAAAAATATAGCTTTGTGCCATTAATAAATTTTTAGAACTATGTTTATTTCATCTCTAGCTTACAGTTTTTACTTTTTTGTATGTTTTACAAGTTGCATAATTTGTTAGGATGGTGGTACTTTGGGAAGGTGGGGTGGTCGTCTCAGATTTTTTTCACCTGGTACTGTTTGCAGTTGCAAAAGTTTGGAGATTACTGTGGTGAGCCCTAGATGTAGCCAAGATCTCCATGCTGCACGCAGAGCAGCTGTGGTGAATGGTCTTGCCTCTAATTTTGTGAACTACATGGCCTGTGGCAGAACCCTGGCAAGAGAAATAGGGGTCTTTGGGAGGAAAACAGATGATTATAAACTAAAGTCCTAGGGCTAGGAAAAGACAAAGAGGTAGTGCAAACTGTGCCTTTGAAAAGCACACCTGGGGACAGGAGGTTGTGGCAGGTACCTTTGCTCAGCACCTGTGGAGGGCGTGGAAGCAGCAGGGCAATGCTTCAGTAAATATCACTCTGGGGCATTTGGAGGGGTCAGCACAAGGAAACAAATAAAACCCAGTGTCCCCAGTCTCTCAGTCCCAGCCGACAGCCCATCTCTTGTCTTGCTGGGGTTCACACAAAATTAAAATGTGGAGACTGGGGAAACTGTGCTTCCCAGGAGCAGCTGCATACAGCTATGGCTATTGATACCTCCAAAACCACTGGATAGCAGGTGCAGAGAGTGACACCTGCTCTTAGGACAGCTACCCCATGGAATCAGGGAGTGGAAGAGAATGAGGGGCTAAGGACTTGCTCATAGCAGAGCAAAGAAGGGAGGTGCATACAAGATGAAGCACCCAGAGTGCTGTATTTGCTGCAGTATAAAAAACATTCCAGTGCTATGGATATTGATGACTTAGCATTTCTTGGCTTTTTTTTCCCCTGTTCCTGTTTTGTTTGTGCTGTCACATATCCTAACAGAGTGATGCAATATTTTTTATTCTGTGTCAGTTCTCATGGCTGAGGTGACAGGAGAAAAAGATGAACTAAGGGAAGCAGAGAAAGAAGATCAAATTTCAGGCTGCATTAATCTCCAAATCAGAAAGCTGTTTCCTTTGTGAGAATATGTATATTTCGTATTATTAATATTGATTGTGCTTAGTAGATTAGGGAACACAGTGTTTCAATATGTAATTTTTTTAAATGGTATCTAAATAAACATGTATGTATACATACCTAGAGAAATGAACTCCAGTGCATTTATAAAATGTGATGTTATGAGCACTAGAAGCAGCAACTGTACATAGAGCAGCCAAATCCAGAACTGCTTTCTGTGATAAACTGGGTTTTAATAGAGTACATAAGTCCTTCAATGTTGTGAATGGGGTAGCTGCACCTTTGTATAATACTGCTTTTGGGGTATTTTAAAAAGGCAGTGTATAAATTGGTGGCCCTCATATGGGCAGAAAATAGCAGTTTTTTGTAAAAACCAGTTGCCTCCATGCAAAAATGCTGTAGGTGTGTGTGATATGCAGTCTTACACCAATTTGCTGGAAATCATTTTTCCACTTTTAAAGAGCTAAACATATAATTTTTGA